AAACTAATTGACACTTGGCGAACAACCGAGGTCGATAGGTGATTCGAATTTAAAGTCGAAACTCAGAGTACACATATTGAGCTTCGAAATGAAAGAAAAATAATAAGCACTGTGTACGTACGGGAGTGCATTCAGTAACGATATTAAATAGAACTAAAAAAAAGTTCACCATTTGCCGATTTATCTGACACGACTACGTGTCCATAACCTTCTATAGAGTCACACTAGCTGCCATGTTCCTATCCATCAAACAGGGTGATGTGAATGTAAACACTGTGATTACGAACTACGACAGCTATCAGTGCCTCATATTCTACATTACTTACTCCTTTTTACCATTCTGGCAATGTACGCATTGACAAAAATGGCTTGGTCCTACATACTGCGTATTAACGCGAATAAATATAGTATAATCGTCCGACACCGATGAGAGTGAATCAGCCTAGCGCGAACGGAGGTTAGGCTTATCTTCGATAACGAATTGAATAAAGGAAGGAAGGAAGGAAGGAAGGTTTTCTTTTCAAGGCCTAGGTTTACAAGTTGAGGAATAATCTATGATTGCGCGCGTATTGAAATAAAACCTTATCGTCACCAACGATGCTTAGTCTGAAGCTTGTATCTTTTATTACGATTATTGTACAACTCGTTCTGCCGTTACTGTCCCACTGGTAGTATTTAGAAATGCGATACAACGATTAAATACTGACGTTCGTTTTCGGAGAGAGTACATACAAACAAAGTGGCATATCGGCGTTATAAGGTTTATTTCGAAGGAATGGCTGGCGAATTTTTCTTTGCGAACCAATTCACCATAGACGTCCGTTGGCTTCTGGAAACGAATAAAAGAGAAAAACGGATAGATAAGAGATATGTCAATACGGTCACCTATTCCCGATATATGAGTTTAAAAGTGTTATAATTTCTCGAATATATCAAAATTCAAGACAATATTACGGACGTCAATGCTTGCAGTTATGTCTTAAGTGTTGTGGCAATCAGGCGAGCACCTTCTCTACAGGCTCAAAGCGAAACATACGTAAATCGGGCGGTGTAAGCAAAATTTCACGTAGAATACGTTAGCCCTGTATTTTTCTCTCCTCGAAAAGCCCATGATACACCGCTGTGCCAGTGCCTGTATCCACGACTTGATTGTGGACTGAACGTCGAAGTAGAATTGATAAAATGACAATGAATGGCTATATAGTTATGTCTCTATGCGAATTACTGTTTAAAAAGAATGGCAGGTTGGTACTATTGCTTAGCAACATTCTTTAGGTACATATTGTTAATATGGGTCATTTGGTTTAGTTTGGTGCAGCTTCATAACATATAAGCTCAAATAAAGTTCTGTTAGTTAAAGCTAAAACAGAAAACTGCGTAACGTTTTTCTATTGAACATATGGTTTTAGAGATTTACATAAGGGGGCATTTCAAAAATGGAACGAACATACAATTTTAGTTTGCTATAATTAAACGTTAGGTTTCTCATAGGGAAATTCTCATATATTTTCACTTATGGAACGATTCAAGTTAAGAAAGTTTTCTAATAAGTCAAGAGTTCTATCTAAGCCAAAACTATGCATCATAGGTGGTCACTCGCGGGTCATCAGCGGGAGGTTCATCCAAAAAGTTAAGTAAGTGCTATTGCTATTTTCAAGTTCCCTAGAATATCACTTTTCAGCGTGATTTCACTATATTCTGACACCAAGCTTAACAATTATTTAAATTATATATGTAAGTCAATGTCTTGGATTGTCGGAAAAGTATAGACCATATGGCTCTAAAGTCACATATTTTAAGTACAATGGGTCGCATTAAGTCAGCGTTGGTGTTATTTGAAGGTTGAGGTCTAGCAGTAATATATATCACAAAATTGTTGCGTCTTTATTCAGATTTAAGATAGAGTGTCCTGAAGACGAGTAAAATTTTTGCAAAAATTTGCTATACTTTACAACGAAATTACACTAAAGGCCAAATGTTGCACAGGGCCCTAAATTTTTTTCTTGTGCTGTTTATAGTAAAGATGCGTTATCGGAAGAAACGGCTTAAAATAGATTTGTCGGTTTTGGTCTGGAAATACCGTTGCGAAGGATGCCCCTGGTAGTAGCCGACCGGTTATGAAAAAAGTTGGTAAAATGATTGCGAAAGCTGAGCACGATCGACACGTCAATAGCCACGACATCGCCAAGAAATTAAACATCCACCATCAACCAGTTTTAAACCATTTGAAAACAGCTGGCTACACAAGAAAAACTCGATTTTTTGGGTGCCACGCGAACCAACGTAAAAAAAAAACGCCTCAATTGTACTTCTATCTGCAAAACCCCACAGAAATCTAACCGAACCATTTTTAAAATCATTAATTATAAGTGATGAAAAGCGCATCATATACGGACAAAAAATGCAAATAAAAAAAGGTGATTTATAGCTCTGCTGTCGATAACCAACCATTACACCACGCCATTAAAAAAAATTAATCGCAAGTGGTAAATAGAAGAGACGTCGTCTTCCACCATGACAATGCTAAACAATATACATGTTTAACTACCTGGTCAAAACTGAGAGAACTTGGATACAAATTTTTTTACGCATCCGTTGCAAAGTCTGAATCTTGGACTACTAGACTGTCATTGGTTTTGGTTTCTGCGGAATACCCTTGATAATATTCATTTATTTTCAACGGTAATATCAGAATTCTACAATGACGGGGTTATAATGCTACCAGAACAATTGCAGAAGGTAACTGATCAAAATGGCGTTTATTGCGTTTATTAGTAATATTGTGTTAAAATACCAAAAATGTTTACTTAAATGTTGGCTTGAAAACAATAAATATGTCTTCGAGAACCCAATATAAATTTTTTTTGCGGATTCATATATTACATAATTCTAGACCTTCTACTACTAGTATGTCTGCATGTGCAGATAATACCGTAATCCTTCACGTTAAGCCACTATTAATTTTCACGTTATTGTCACATGGAATTTTCTTATAGGCTTCATTGTCGAAGACGTCTTTTCCTTCCGATTATGGCTGCGTCGGAAAGGATGTAGTCGTAAGGACTAGCGTATCTTGTACAGTGGTGATGTCACATTTGTATCCACGGAAGCACTGTGACACTGCCACGACAAATTACTGTTAGAAAGAATTTCTGCTCCTTTGGCTATAGAACACCTGTTTACTTTGAGAATTCTCATTTTGCTATTAACCTCGAAGCGGCTCAAGCGGCGGTCGTGCACTTCACATTGTATATGTATGTTTGTATGTTCCGGCCCAGTTTGGGACACGTGAGTTTCAAAAAACGGCTTTATTTCATTACTGCTTCGGTCATCACCGGAACCTGACCAAGTACCCCACGATCTTAATCTCATCCTCGTTACGCAGTATTACGTTAGCACTGTCGGAGCAATTTGTTGTGCATAGAACTGTGATGCGCCCGAGTTTCACACAACAGAGAGAACTTCGAATCGAAGTTTGAAATAGTCTCCCTCTATCTCTGGTAGTGCATAAAAACAGGCCCACATTTTACTGTAACAAGAAAAAAGAAGCTTGGTGGTGTCACGACAATATGCCACTATCAACCGATTATGGCCAACAACCTTACCCAGTAAAATATTCCTTACTCCAGCAAAATATGGTAAACCTCACTTGGTTCTGTTCGATCGCATCGACGGTGACAATTACTTAAAATTGGAGTTTTACGTTTGGTAGTAGACAGCCGGCCGATTCCAGCTCGAAACGAAGTCTATCTACGTTCGTTCCGCATCTAAGGCACCTCACCTATCACAAAAATTAATAGACTATCTGAAGTACTAACAAAAAAAAAACCGACTTGGTTCTTATAAGTGGCTAGTGTCCTCGACAAAAACACGTTCAATCTCCCAACCTGAGCCTTACATTTGACCTACAAGAAATATATTTTCCCTGTAATATTCAACTAGTCCATACACGTTTTATTTATACTGTTTATACAATATTTTAGTCCACAGCCATTTCCGATGCCGTGCGTCCATTCCCACACTTGATGTTTCAACATCGGGTGTTTCCGCCTTTGCTTATCGGCCGGCAAGGACCGAAAGAAACCGCCACTGCCATATCGATTTTCGCTCTTTAGTTGCTTCCGTAAGCCTTCATCAATTTGATCCCCCACTCAGCTTCCACTTGGCTTTTGCCATCGCCATCCACTGTTATTATCTATAAGTTTTCTTTTCCTTACAGCGAAAGGAATGATAACTCTACCGCAATAATTTGCACAGTCATTTCTAAGATTGCGAACCACCTGCAAATTTTGTAAATACTCCGTGAGCGACTTATTTGTTGTCCATGATTATTTTCAGGCCTTTATTGGTGCTTAGCAGGACTGGCTGATGTGAGCAGCATTAAAACAAACAGCAATACCTACTGTTGGCTGACGAAATGTAGAGCCAGCTGTGGGTTGCCTACAAGTACACTTAAACCTGCAATGGTCACTCTCCTGGCATATGAAGCATTAAATTTTACTGCAAACCTGCTGCATCTATGGTTGTTTAAACCTCTTTAACTTCTTTAAACGGGAAACCTTACGACTCAAAAGAAAATCATATTTGAGAAAAATTACATACTTCTTTGAAAACCCATCTCTGGAGGAATCAAAAAAGTTTGAACTGTACTGAAGCATAAGGTTCCATAGACTATAACGTGTAGCTACCAAACGAAACTAATCGATTACAACTAACTACTCGAATGGTGAGGATGGAACGCCCTCCAAAGAAACGAAGAGGATTTCGCCAATTAATTTGGAATGAGATTTGCCGAAACCGATAAAAATCGCCTCATGTTTTGTTTTAGACGTTCCTGTTTGGTTCGTTAATTATTTAAATAACTTACCTAGAAATGTCATTCCAATCCATCTGAAATGACTTATGTTTAACAATTTCTCCTATGCAATGAAGTTCCATTAAAATTGAAATGCTATCATATGAGTCATCAGATTTCAGATTTTTATGAACATTTTTTTTATTTCACCATTATTTTACAGGCCGAGAACTATACAGAAACGAATTTTATGTACACGGAGTGTAACTAAAATTACAAAGAACACCATTTTCACCCCCCGACGCGTAAGATACTATAAATTAATTTTATATTTTCTAAATGTTTAATTATGTGTTTATAAATAAAGTATTACTGTTGTTGTTCTTATGGCTGTCGTAGCCTTGAGAAGAACACCGCATTTTTTATAGGTCCCGACGTCCTTTCTTTTTTGCGTTCTGCTTGATTATGACTTTTGACAATGATCACGATGTAACATTCGCAAGTTTTAATAAGTTCTCATTTTGCAACTTTTCAAAGTTTCGTTTTTCTATGGAATTCATTCGTAAAATTTCCGCTTTACTTTCATCTACTGCATCCCATGATTTTATCATTTCGTCATCTTCTAATATATGCCAACGATGGCGGAACGGATGAACTTGGAATATGGCGTACATAAAACGTATGAACATAATGATATTCTTGCGGTTCCGGGCACGTCTTCTAGCAAACTAATTTGCCAATAATGAGTAATTTAATAATAGTAATAGCCAACCAAAATGTTATAAGTCCACCGAGAGAGATATACGACAAACGTTTTCTCTTCGCTTTACTTTGCCACTTGATGGATATAATTATTATAACGTGATCCGTAGTAATGATGATAATATTAAAATAATTAATCAGTGGTGAATAATTACTATCCCACCTCTCCCTCAGTCTTACCTTCCACACTGTCTGTCTAATATATATATATATATATATACATCGTGGAATATTTTTTCCGGATGTTTGGCTGCTTGTGATGCACAGAACAATTCAATCGTTATTTGTATTGTTGTTGTTACCGGTAACGCCGACTGGAATAGTTCAAAGTCGCCAAATTCCTCGTTCGTTTTATCGTTTTTTTAATTTGATCGAAATTTTAAGTATGTCTTGGTTGGTGTTCCAGAGTATCCAGCGCGTGTGCGTGCTGAGTGAGAGTTTTCAAGGAGCATAGGGAGCTTCCAATGGATGAAAACCAGTCAGTGATTACAGTTGTCGACGGACGGCGTAATTTTTAGTTATTTTCGGCACAAACCATTGGGTAGTCATGTAACGTTAACTACGTCTCTATCGTTGACATATGACTACCTCATGGCTGATGTGTGCTAATTAACAAAAATGTGATCGGCCAAGGTAAACTTGACGGAAGTTGACACCCTATTTAATTAACTCATCTGGTGAAAATAACAGTTTGGCCCCTTGTTCTGTCTTTGCCGATTTTCGCATATGCTGAATATCGGTAATTCTCTCTCACATGTTTTGCTCTATTCTATATTTATAGTTATGTATTCACGTATATTCATTTCTATGAACCCTCGGATTTAAAGACGAAGTGGTTACGAATCAGGTTCGATAGAGCTTCAGAGCTTAACAGTACCATTGAAGATACTTACCAACCAAGAATCTAATTTCGCCATTTTCCAGTACAATTTCTAACACTAGGAAAACACTAAAAGAGAAAGCAGGTTTTCTTACCTCCAATACTCAAACACGTAGTTGCTACGTTCACAAATCCCAAGGTTCATGTTTACTTTCCCATTATCTATGTATACATATATAGATTTATATATCGTTTCTAAATTTGACGGAAGTTCTCGAATAGATTTTTACAGGCCATTTAGTACAGAATACATGAAATGGAAAAACTGCAAAAGAGCGTCCGTGTCGATCAAGAAAAGATAAAAGATTTGAAAGAAAGATTGTGTAAAGAAAGGCATCGTAATTATTACTTCCGTCGTGACAATGATGAGACCCGTTAACTGCTGATCGATCAGACACGAAGTCCTTTAATGATAACGAGACACCAGTCATCAACTTTCTAGCCGCTCTCTACATATAGCCCTCTCACACGAATTGAGCTTTCGTTCTTCACGACTTATTTTTTCAATTTCATCTATGAAAACGGGCTCAATTAGAGATGTTGAAGACAATGACTCGTTGTCGTCAAATCATCCTCCAAAGTCTTCCAGTTTTTTTTAATCTAGCGTCATGTCATGTTATGTCTATTTTTTGCTATTCACCCTGGGAAAGACCAGGATACGTCTGTTTCTTCCATCTTTATACAATGACATATGTTTAGTTTTTTTTGACAACCGCTATTTTTTTGTATGGGCGACACCGTACCCGTTCGTTGCATTAACTTTGCGTAGTCATACGTGACAATAAAGAGACACACTCGTTTAGATTTCAGCTGTCACGCTATCATGCTTGGAGCACTATCTAGTAGGCTGTACTTTGTCTAGAATATCTTATTGTCTTAGATGCCTATGCACATGCTCATTTTTCCTAATTAATCTTACCAATATACAGGTAGCAAATCTCTTGAAAACATTTTTGTCAAAAAGCCGAATCACATCCAGTAGGGAGTACGTGCACTGTGAGCGTATTATATTTCTCCTTCTTTCTGCTTTTCTAAATCTTTTTAACCGGCTGTGGCGGATTCACCATAACCGGTATATGACTTTCTTCTCTGAGAGAATCTAGACCCAGCTTAAACGAATCCCGCAGTGCTTCGATTCTCTCCGGCGTTGGGCCCCAGTGAGCATACCCGGCGTCGTTTTGTAAAAAATAGATGTCCATGCCAAAGTTCGGCTTGAATAGTATGTCCGCTCGGCTGATCATATGTTGAAAGCCATGACGCAATTCGTACTCAAACGCAGATAATGAGATCTGCTCTCGTTTGTAGCGTGATGACTGCAGTAGGTTCAAAGCCTGCTCGGAGGAGTCTGACAGCGGCTCCGACAACGTAAAGATGATAAATGACAACGGATCCTGCAAGTGTAAGGAAAACCGTATGAAGAAATCTTAGTTAGTTATGAATTATCCAAAGCGGGAAATAAGGCGCCAAAAAACATCCAGATACATATAGCATGTTGACGTGAGCATCCGACACTATTTATTAATGAAAGGTGGTCAACACAAGCACTTTCCAAAAAACCGCCAATAGATTGGCTATCCTGCTATATTGGTTTCCGACTACATACTACGTACTTGGCTGAGTAAAAAATATAAGAACGTGTATTTTCTTAAGGGGTCGGTGTCGATAGGCAGATCCCTTGACAGCTATAAGAGAACGTAATACACAAATACATAACAACGAAACACCACTACAAAAAAGTGAAAATGCAAATAAAATTCAACGTTATATTGCAGTTACCAGCAAAGAATCTAAATTTATTTTACCTGCGATTGAGAAAGGAGTTTCTCAACGTGTCGCACGCTGTCCATAAGTAGCTCTTCAACATCCGGAGGATGCAACTGTATAGAGCCGCACAATGGCTGCAGCTTGAGAAAGTCACCGCGCGAACCGAAGAAACCATCGGTGTCAGCGAACGGTGAACAGTATTGCCTATAAAATCAGAAGTACTCAATGTTACCACTAATACAGATACGACATATCGCTTAATAGAGTAACCCACACTATTTGTATAGTGCAACACATTTCTATAAAAATAATTAAACTCGCGTTCATGGATAAATGACCTAAGCTAAAAAACTACGAACCGCTTCTGCTAAAACACCTACTTGAAATAGCAGTTGAGTGGTGACGAAAATCCCTCGAAGGTCACTCCAAAATGTTTGTGAAGACATCCCATGACCGAGCTTGGCAACGAGCAATGCAGTAAATGAACCGTGCACTGAGGGTCGACATTTTGACCCAACGAAAATAGCGAATGATAACGTTTAATCATCGAGTAAACACGAGATAGGAAAAACTCGAATTTTCTGTCATCTCCGCAGCTGACACGGTAAAGCTGCTCCTAAGGGTCATTGGCACGTAAAGTAAAAAAAAAAAAACAATGACGGAGTTACTGCAGTTTTACACAAGATCCTATTTAAGAAAAGAAAAAGTCATAAGCACAAATAAAATTATGCGATCATATAGAAAAAAACACGTATTCCTCTATAGAATTCTTCAACAATCATAACTAACAGCACACCATACATATCGATGAGGCTGGTATCATGCGAAATGGCACGAAACGGCGTTATATTTATAGACACCTGAGCTCACAAACCTGGCTGAACTTTGAAAGAAAATTTAACTAATGATATATTGTTACGCTTCAATAAATGATCTATTTGAATTTTCATATCATTATCTCACTGTGTATGTTCTAAGTTTTGGCTAGTGAAAAACCATTGTGGATTTCCTGGTACTAACGAGTTTTTGAAAGTAGAGCGTGCCGAGTCGGGTAACCTCTCCTTTATACTTGAGCATCGTGGCCGGGTAACTTTCGCGGGTATCATAGCAAATTTCGACACATGGAGTTAGGGACTTTGGGTAGCATAAAGCGAGTTGCACCGGATAGCAGTGGACACGCTTCGGGTTCGTTACTCTCAGTGGCGCAGTTAGTTCTACAACAAAAAAAAAGCGAGTAAGTGGCCGCAAATTTCTAACTCGAAAGATCCCAAGGAATACTTTTCTTGCACAACTTTAATCGAGTTCAAAGTGAATCAAATGTACGTTTATCCACGTCAAATTTACTCACGTCACATCATATAGCATCTAGCACACATATAGCATCACATAACATAAAAAATAACGATGGTCATCAAAAATTGTTTGAGATCTTTCTGTTTAATTTGCACCTAGTCCATTACGCTTACCAACACAAAAGCTAGTGTCTCGTTTTTTACTACTAAGCAGATCACGCGACACTACACGGGACACTTTACATACGACATGTGTGTTTATTCGGCTCTTTAGTTCTTCTTCTTACCTTCGATACCGTGTGCATTAAGAGCTTGCCAGTGTTTTGAATGAATCTTTTTGGCGTAATCCGAGCTGAGGCTGTAGATCTTGCTGCATATGCTTTCAACAGATGTGCGAGCCACCTGGTTAAGGTGAGGCTGACACTGCTTCCGTAAGTGGTTAAGACGTTCGGCATGGTCGTCATAGGTGGCGTTAACGGTTCGCCGTAGCCAGCTGAACGCGTCTTCCACGTTCCACTTCACGACTTTCCGGCTTTCAGGGCTGGCGTTACGTGACTCGATCATTTTCTTCGCCGCCTCTGCGTAACGTGCTAGCTGCTTTCGTGCGTCCCCTGGAAATTTCGGTTTTACTAGCTTGATAGGAATGTCCGCCATTATTTCGCGGTACATCAGTTGCGAAATTTCCGGTGAACATTGAGACGGGAAAACTGGCTCGCTGCCACGATCCACCGTCTTGCGTTCGACAAGCCAGCGAATGAAGCAGTCTCGTGGACACTCAATACCTTCACGCGAATGGCACATCTCCCCAAATTGCTGCTTGAGCTTATGAAGCAACACCGCCCGGAAGACCTCAATCTCAGGCAGGGGGGGAGGTAGACTGGAAGGTGGCCTTTCCACCATCATAATATTAGACCCGACTTCAAGATCGAACGGACCGTTTAGCCAGTTCTGTGCGCCGCTGCTCTTTTTCGCTGAACTTTCGCCCTCAAGTGAGGCATGTCGCTTCTGTGGGCTTGGGTGCGGTCCAGGATGAACAGGATGAGCGTGACTGTGGGGCATCGGATGGTGCGGACTGCCCGTTTGGTGCGGAGGAGTAGGCGGCATATCTGAAGATGGTCCAGAAATGCCTAACGGATCTGTGAGTGGGTCGTACTGTAGACAACAGCAAAAGCAACAAAACAGAGCCAAGCACGCCCTATTAGTGCACTGTTCAGCTTAACTTACAGCTGCCGGAGTTGCCATTCGAAATATACTCCGTTACTCTATGTCAGTTCTTACGCTAAATGTAAACTACATAGAATATATAGTTACTATATGGGGCGCAGGATTATTCAGTATTAAATCGCTTGAGTTTAGAACTATGGTGGAACCTTCCGGTAACCCCTGCTTTGCTAACTGTAATAACTGTTACGACAAGTACTTACACCACTGCTGCTGCCTGGCATTGGTGGCATCTCCCAAAGGCTTTCATTGGTAACTTTGTTAAAGAAATAGAAACGGTTCTCCCGTTTCGAGAAAAACTTGCGCCATCCTTGATTGAGCAGTTCGGGGGGCAAATCGTGAGCAGGATCCTGTCCCAAACTACCCGGCGCAGCCTGTCCTGAAGCTTGCTGATGTCCGTGTGCCTGCGACCATCCCGGCTCTTTCCGTTCGCTTGGCGGTGGAGTCAAATATGGATGCCCCACAGTAGCCTCTTTTCCTGCTGACGGTAACTAGAAATTAGGTAAAACAACAAGAGAACAAACCATGTACGACAAAAAAATGTTAGTTATCAAAAAAATCAATAGATAAACTAAGTGATTATGTCATACCTGCGCTATACCAGTGTTTGTTATCATTTTAGCTTTACAGGTCAAAACGCTGAGTGAGTATTAGTAGATTCACCCTTCGCATATATAAAAGCAGATTGCAGATATAAGATATTGGAAAAGCGTAGCTTTTTCCAATTCAATAATTTTTAGAGCGAATTATTTTCTATATCATAAATCGTATGACAGCTAGCTACTTGTCTTACAAGCATCATTAACTAACTCTGTCGACAGATTTAACACTTTCCTATACATTTGAAACAGTTAGATGTTTTATATATTTAGTACAAAAATGGTTACTATATTTCTCTAGACGTTATTACCCAAATTTCAAATGGCTCGATTCCGCCATAGCGACATCGCCAGCAGTCGCCCCGCATCACATTGTTTACATACCAGCAAACAATAATATTTGACTGAGCGTCACTGCGCGTTTCCATCTCGATCTGGACAGTGATGATGATCGTAATAGTGACGACCATCATTAAGAACTAACGCAATACTCAGGGAATGCTAAAGAGGGAGAAGGAGCGAGAAGAACGACTGAGCAGGCAGGTGGCCCATGAAAGTGGCGATCATATGACGATGTTAATTTGAACTAAGCGCCAAGTCCCAATGGGGAGAGGGCAGCATACGCAGCAGTAGCACACAATCGGACAGCTTGGACCGATCCAACACACAACACACGTCATCCAAGGTCAGCATTGGCGCCGTCGATGGTTCACTGCTGCTGCTGCCACGGCCGCACTCTCCGGACTCCGGACTCGACCATCAACCACAGCTCCCGCTGCTGCTGCTGCTGCTGCTGCTGCAACGACAGCTAGTGTCGACGATACGATAGGTGGCAGCAGGAGCAACAGTAGGTAAGAAGCGGACAGATGAATCTTGCAAAACTCCTTTTTCTTCCCCTAATATAGCGCACAGTTTCTGTACAATGTCGCTAGCAGCTAATTGTATAGTACGATAGAGTCATTATCGCATAGCATCTCACTGCTGGTAAGTAGAGATGCGCTGTCACCACCTAACTTCTGACCAATATAGGTTCCTGAGAGAAACCGCCCTATACTGTATGGAAGTATCAACAGCGGCATGTTACCAAGGTAACGTGCACGTATATTTGCTTGACGATTACTTGACCTACCTGAGTGGGGGTGTTCATACCCCAGGGGTCATCGTGCACAAGCGGTTTGGGATCGGGACCTGTTATAGCGCCGCTTGCAGCAGCTCTCTTCAGCTCCAGCTGATGAGAGTTGAACAGCGATTGAAAGCGGGCGTCTGACATACTTTCTGTTGAGCTCCGGTCCAGTCGGACTCGTCACCAACAGTCTGGGATCTCTTTGTTGTCTGGGGATATCCTGGCTGTCAATAGCCTTCGAATTAGACATGAGAGCAAGCGACAATTCACGCACAGTCATACATCCCGGGAGTCCTGCAATAGCACACATACGAGCATTAGTATCTCGACATAATACCGGCAATATTACGCGATATTATTACACTATCGCTAAGCGATCTAGTTATGCAGCACGGACAGCGACTTTTTGTTGCCGTAAGATCACCATGTTTGCATGAAGCGTCGACTAATACACGATAGGTTGGTTAAACGATATCAGTTTCAGTCAGCCCATGCCAGCGACGGTCACTATCGAGCAGCGTTACCGTATTATCCTTACTACTACTATCGGGATGATGATGATTTTGACGGTTATTGTCACTATTATTATTGTTATCATCAACAGCAGCCTCTTTGCGCAGTGAGCCTGACGTACACGTTTATAGATGTCGCTTCGAACACGTACGAATCATTAACGTATACTCTAAACACCTTTCTCATATTAATGTACCATAACAATATTAAACGACAGATGGACACTTGGGTGGTACTACGTCGAAACACCTTATATAGCAAGCTCGTACAGCGCGCTGCGATGAGAACTGAGGCTACCGTCGCACTGAGGACAGCATAAGTTGAAGTGCAGATTAGGGCCAATAAAATCCGATTAGCGATCATGATAGAACGGAAGAAAAACAGGGGATTTAGTAATAAGGAACAAACGAAGCTGCGAATGAACGATATGGAAAACATTAGACGAGATGATCAGCGACTTAACTCCGTTTCTATCCTACCGAGATTCATTGGCTTGGCTGGGTAGACAGGCTATTCAGTCAGTGGCGCAATGAACACTACCGCTGGTGTCACACTAGTCGGTCGGTATTCACACACGGGAAACAACTCAAGAAAGTTGCCAACCCCATTTAGTCCCCGCTAATTGCCCCAGCTGGCAATTATCTCGCACCTGACGTCCACCGAGAGGCTCGCGTTGACAGGACGTCAAGCCGGTAGGTGACTGACTGAGCTGGTCGTCTTGTTGATAAACAATCACACGAGCCGATGGCGTTCAGGAAGGCGGCGACGCAGACCACCCGACAGCAGCCATTTTCAACCAGCACTAGCACTAAAGGCAGCTTGTTGAGCGGACCCAGTAGCGTCGCTGCTAGCGCCATCTAGGAGGGACTCCACTGGTCATGTGACGTGCGCAACGTGTCCGGCAGTGCATTCGCGCGAAGTTTGAATCCTCTTCATGTCTATCTATCGGGTCAGATACCATATATCTATTGATACAAATCGGTAAGTAGCCGTATCTGCATCGACGGTACATATTACTATATATGCGAAAATTTATATTTGCCGCTTTAAAGTGAAGCGTGTGTGCAGACTAGTGAAGTAATGTTATAGCGCCGTGCTCTTTACATAGCACTTTACATAACCATGGCTAGTGTATAACGTATACTTGCTCTGCGAAATATTAGCCTTTTTAGAATCTAATTTATTATTATTATTATTATTATTATTATGATATTAATTTGTTTGAATAAGCTGAAAGCGTCTGAAAGGAACACGCGTTTGAAGCATCTCTCTTTTTGTTACGTCTTTTTACATGCAAATATAATAAAAATGGTAACTATTGTATGGTAAAATAATTTTTTCCATCGACGTAAATGGTTTGCCTGACACGTATGCATCTTATATTTGCGTAAAATTTATGTGAAAGACTACCCTATAGAAAATTGATTAAGCACGCGGGACTAATCGGAGCTTCTCCAGAAAACATTGATATCCTATGTACTGTCGATGCTTCGAGGAATTGCTGTTGAGCAAAATTTTGTCACTAGATCGTATGTGAAAGATTAGGAATCGCGCACAACGCCTTGGTGCCCTTTTGTGTCCACTTTAGCGTTATAGCCGCATAAATGGTGATGATTTTGAATGCTGCCCTGTGTAACAATGACGACGCTAAAAAAGTCTAGATTGGATTTAAAATGTTTTCATTATGCCCACCAATATGGGCATAGTAGTCGCTCACTTCGAACGGAGCCATTGCCTCGCTCTTCGCGATTCTTAATTAGTAATATAGCTCGTTATGGTTTTGGATTCTATTAAATATACGCGATGGCCAATGAGTTTGCCTTAAAATAAATCTCGAAGTGGGCATTTGTCCACGACTGATAAAAATAACTTTGATGATTGAATGCAGCATTCAAGTCGATTTATAAACGCACAAATTATTTGCTTTTACTTTTGCTTGATATTTTAACACTTAACGTCTGATCGATTGACACAGACTGCGTTATTAGTTCTAAATTCTGTGTCATGCTGAAAACAAATCTGCCCTACCAGTCTGATCTAGTCACTCAAAACCTAGGTTGACCCTTACCGTAAGCTGTATCAGTTTTCATAACCATTATAAAATGAGGCAACCACCTTTCGCTTGCAATATTTCAGTAAACATGCGATCCACTAAGCCAGTTGTCCCGCTCAACCATTACGTGACCACCTCCCAGTTTCGTCAAAAATTTCGCAAAGAATTTAGAAATTCATCGAAAGTTGCATTATGCATCTCTTTTTTATCTGAACTGTCACATTCGGCATTATGAATGATGTTCTGTCAAGGAGTGTGCAGTAAGAATAGTTGAAAGGTTTTTTTTACGAGTGACTAGTTCGTCCTGATTACCAGTCCACAATATCCTGGTATTTTTAAAAGAAAGTAACTGCGATAATCAGAACATTGGAAAGATTAATTAGAACTTATTTTTTCTATTCATTATTTTTCTGCATGCGGAATGCTGCATGGAATGCGAGCATATACTTGAGGCAGCTTGTATCACTATAAGTAATCTAATTCAATAGAAAAACGATTCCAAACTATGCTTTCATAATAATTGTGTTGCTGATTTTGCCAGCATAATATTAACTATCTGGGATGTTATCTGGTATTTCTCCTTTTGTAAACATTTTCATTGCATTTGAGGCGACAATAACACCCACTGCTCAACATTACATTGTACCGAATAGTGAAAACGGTCAAAGTATTTCCCGCTTTGGGTCTCCACGAAAATCCGTTTGCAATTGAATACTTGAGCTGTTTGAATTTAGCGATACGGACCACAGGTCTCGTAACTAACGTGTCTTATATATGATCAAATTAATACTTATCATTCTTTTCGTGTTGAATTCGTAGGTAACTTACACTTACTTAGCTTACTTTGTGTCGTAAGCTTACAAAATGCGACATTTTCTGCTATTAAATATGGATCGCAGGGGTTTTTTGTTAGAACTCGTTATACTTCCTTTTGCCGTCAGTCATTGGTGTAGATCTTATCGTCTGTCGTCGAGCCCAGTTACTGCATACTTAGCTCTATGAGGAAATACTTAGAAAGAACACTGTGTTTGGAAATTAAATAATGTCGGACGTTATTATAGATTTGGGATTTAGAGAAAACAATCCTGACCGCGAGAGGGAACATAACAAACAAAGATAATTTGCTTAACACACATAGTGTCTTTTATGTAAGGCTTATGTAGCAATGGCGAGTGTGGTTGGTTCACGAGGAACAGGTGTGCCGTGATGAGTCCGAAGTGCTCCCAAAAGACGTAGCAGCCAACGAAAACTAGCATTGATTGTTTTTAATTACATACATTTATGCACCATGTGGTAGCACCTCGACACAACTAATGGCTCTTTGTTATACTCAGAGCTTCCAGGGCCAATTCTAAGCCAAAAGTGACTGGAGTTCCATCGGATGAAGTTATAAGATCGAACTGTCGCTTCAGATCACAGCCCAGATATGAAACAACACTTCTATAACAATACGTACTTAGACAACAAGGATTGTTTCGCGTGCTCGCGTATGCAATAACACCCGCAATCAGCAGTTGCTGCTATAAAGAACAAATTTGGTCATTAAAATTTAAAATACGTTACAAGTATTTAAATAATACTTTATTTTCTTACTAGATGACTCGTAAACTCTGTATTTAATGCATTATAAAAAAAAAGAACTAACGTTGCTTGCTTTGTTTTTCTATGTGAATTCAATGTGAAACTGATGCGGATTTTACACCTAGATCAGAAAGGCCATGTAGGATTAACTACACGTACATACTGCTTTACAATGTTAGAACAGTACCGGGCAGCGCTATTAGTTCATCAGTATATCTATTCGCACGTGCTTAATCGCTGCGGACGGATTACTGTGCAAACCTGCTTACTGCGAACAACTATGATTGCACGTTATACCTTCGGCTAGAATCAGCTTAGAGCTTTTATAAGCCAGCAGCATCTCCGTAAGCCCAATCTAAAATTAAAAAAAAAAAGTCATTACTACACGATTTGGAAATAGACGTACAGTTGTAGCCTGCAGGCCATCCTTTTCCTTCCTTTCAGCGTCCCCTGGCCTAGGTATGGCAAAAGCCTTGCTGAAGTTAATCCTACGACTTGATTCAATGCCATCTACGCAGTACGATTCCAGTATCGCTAAACAAATATGGTTGTAGCAGGTTACCTGTCTCAAAATCAAATATTCAATTTTATCCTGTCTTGTATCTCTATCGAACTAGACTTGTCTGAAGTACTTGTCTGAGTAAGGCCGAGACGCATCGCGATCTAGCACCTGAATTACTAGTATCTATAAAACACAAGCGTTAAACTTAGTATATCTAATTATACAACTGGTCTCATTGGTAGATATTGTCTACAAACGATTTCAACGATACTGTCAACACTAACCAAACTTCAGAATTACATTAGACCTTATCTGCTTACAGCCGGATTAAACGTCCTTCAAGATTCGTTTTTCTAATAGAAGTCGAACAATTATTCATCAGATTTCGACAGTAATATTGCTATCCACTCTTTTCCTGTTTTAAATTAGATTTCGTCTATTTAAACTCTGAGATTATTTCTTCCCATGATGATACCAAGGTGAATATCGGAACCATGTAAGTGTATTCGTCTTCAGGGTTTAAGCTATATATAGCAGGGTATAAAGGGTAAAAGCAGGGCATACCTCATGTTTTTGTCTCATCTATTATTAGAAGTTTCGTCTGCACATGGTAAACGTATTTTATGATGAACGCCAAAAAGGAGTAAATTTACAAAACTAGTTGCAAGTGTAAAATCATTATATACTTTTTACTAAAATGTGCCTTGACATCCAGCATATATGACCAATTCATTTTCAGCGGCTTCACTATTTTTTCAATAAAATACAGCCTGAATGCTGGTTACGCTATTTGTTATTTACGGGCTGCGATCCTTTAACCGTCCTGCATAGTGTTTGTACCTTTTGAAAAAATCCCGGTAGCAGATTTCCGTGTCTTACAGATTAGACATCCTACTACATAATCGTTCCGGAGCATCAGATGCTGTTACTGGATAGTTACTAGAAGCATCTATTATATCATCATAAAATCTTTTGTAGCGAATCGTGCATTTAAGCCATGCGTCCGCTTGTCGTCAACATGCAAGGTAAAAAAGAACCTGCGGATACAATGTTAGAACTGTGTATTTTATATCGGTACATTATACTACTTTACCATAAGATCTTAATTTATGTAGAAATACTTCTAGCCAACCTATTGGTTGCTGTCCTAGACTCCGGTCAAATGCAACAGGTATTCTACTTTAAACCCATCCGTCACTGTTTTTGCTTGGCACCGTCACTGATCATGATCTGGTAACGTTAGTTAGGTTTTCGATATGGAATGTCATCTTCATGTCTTTTTGTAAAATAGTATTTCTTGGAGACGAAAAAGACCCTAAGGACCTAACCGCTGATTTCATGTCATATTCCTTCGCACCCGGGGAGAACTCTTAATTAATTTGTGCATGGTTTGACTTCTCTAAAAGTTTGTAAATCTTACTGCACGTAATGCTCCACGGGGCCCCTTTATGTTACTCGATAGGAACACTTTACGTTCTGCATAATAATTCATGTAATGGGTAAAATTCACAGAAATCGTCCAAGATGTATTTTTATATATTCATTGAAGACATTTAATTATAGCTAATTACCAATTTAGGCGCCTGTTTCTAGGATGAACATTTTGAAGGACATAATTAACCCTTTACGCTAAATTCTT